AGGATTTTTTTTGGTTTGCGGGGCGTTTTTTTTTTTTTTTAATTTGGGTTTTTGCCCCCCCCCCCCCCCCCCCCCCCGCGTCCACGCCCATGTCTCGCTTCGGAGCACGCCCAACCACGCCCAACCTGTATGAACAAGCGCAATTGCCATCACACGCGCAATGCACCCCCACGTCTCTACAAAGCTAGCGGTGCCATGTCTTGTCACAGCTATCTACCCAATCTTGACGTCGGTCGAATATTTCTGCCTGTTCGCAGACGAACCAGATTGATTCCCACCCCAAGCTGTGTGCACCCCACGCCCCAACAGCCATCAAACTTCCAAGAACTGCTGTAGCCCCACGGGCCATGTTGAACCGGGGGGTGAATGCTGATAGGCCGGAGAATGGCACCAAACTTCTACACCAACAACAAACACTGCTGTGTGAAGCTCCTGCGAAAAGAGAGGGACGGGCTGGGGTGACGAGAACGGTGGGGGGAGGGGTGGTACTCCCGTTGGTCTCAGCAGCATCCAGATTTTTGCTCCGTCCTCGGCCGCATGATGGGGAACGCTTCCCTCTCTGGCTGCACCGTGGCCTTCGGTAGCTTTTGGGCTGGGGCGACGCAGAGCGGTGTGGAGGCGGTTGAAAGGGGGGCGGCGAGCGGTGTGTGAGTGCGTGCAATCGGGTGGGAAGGTTGGGTAAAGGGAGGTTAGGGTTGAGCACGGGGTGCTCGAAAAGGGGCGCGGATCGCAAGAAGAGTCGTTCGGGAGGTTGGGCCACGCCAGCGCTGCCACACGCCTACCGTTGCAACACCGCTCTCTACCGTCGAATGATCGATAGCCCACCGAACAGCAATGGCAGTGTAGCAGACAAAAGAAGACATCTCTTCTCTCGTGCAAAAACGACAACTCACCGATCTCGACGAAAATGCTCTTGACGTTTTGCGCGCTCTTGGCCGAGGTTTCCATGTGAATCAGACCGTTGTCTTCCGCGTACAGGCGAGCCTCTTCCGACTGCACTTGCCTGGGAGGTCAGACACCCCAAGAAGAGGGCGACGGGGGGACGGGGGGGGGCGTACTCTTATGTTTTACATGCCTAAGCGGTTAGACCGTTGACCACGCGTCCTCGAGAGGACGGAGCATTGTTCCCACAGGACCCATCACCGAGGGCCAATCATTCCTTGCGGGGCGGGGGGGGCGGGTGTACTCATAGTCGTGCATGCCGTAGTCGTTAGACCATTGACCTCGCATCCCTACAAAGCCGGGACGGAGAACGCCGGGTTCTCACCGGACCAGGCTCTCACATCACCAAGCGCGAAGCACCGTGAGGTATTCGGCGAGTTGCATGAAGGCGGGGGGGGGGGGGGGGGGGGGGGGGGGTTTTTTTTTTGTAACGGTTTTTTTTTAACCCCCCCCCCCCCCCCCAAAAAAATTTTTTAGAAGGGGGAAAATCCCCCAAAAAACCGGGTTGTGGGGGGGGGGTTTTTCCTGGAAAAAAAAGGGGGCCGGGCCCCCCCCCCCCGTATTCCTAACCCGGATGGGGGGGGAAAGGAAATTTTTTTTTCGGTCTTTTGGAAGAAAGCGTTAAACCCCCGGGGTGGGGAAAAAATTTCCAAAAAAAGGGGAAAACCAAAGGGGGTAACCGGCTTGGGGGAAAAAAGGGGGTTACGGAAAAGGGGGCCAATCCCCCCCCAAAAAAACCCCCTTTAAAAAGGGGCTTTTTGGGTTCCCCAAATTCCCCCCCCCCCCCCCCAGGGGGGGGT